TTTTTTTTTTTTTTATTTTTTAACTACGTACAATGAGACAATGATAATATAATATAATAAATAACAGAACAATGCAGATCTACGATTTATGAAGTAAATGCCAAGAACTAACAACCTTGAACACCCTTAACAAATTTTCTTCTCATTGAAAATTACATTGTTACGTCATTTTATGATTAGATCACTATGTTTGATATTTTGATCAGCAGGACGTGTAACTTGTGCTTAGAATTGAAAGCTTTTATTTATTCTTTTTTGAACAGCATGCTTTCGGTATACTTTCATTACTCCAGGTATGTTCACACAGGAGTTTCAGTGATTTTGTTTTTGTATTCTAGTCTGACGATTGAGATGACAGAGGAAAAGAAAGTACAACGTGGAACGTGAACCTCGTGCATTATTTCCGTACTAGTTGAAAATATACGCGCGCGAACCGCTGTTTGCACACATGTGTTTCATACGCGAACTTCAATATTCTCGATGTGTCATGCAGTTTGACAAGCAATACGAACGGCACTAACTCGCTTAACTCATATCTATTGATCGGTTGCTTGTCTATCAATTCGCTGAAATAATTCAACATACATTAACGCTTCACTTTCACTGTTTGTTATTTAGAAAATCTTGAACAAAAATCATCTTCAATATGAAATTCTATTGGCATATGAAAACGAAAATTATTCGATACGTTTTATCGATATCGTTTTATTCGATACATAAGATCTGAGATCCACGGTGGCGGAGAATTCGTGTCGGAGGTTCGTGTCGTAGACAATATCAGAAGTGACTTTTGACTAAACCCGAGGTAAATTACTTACCTTTCGAAGCAGGTACAACACATCGTTGGTGCTCCAGTTGGATATATCCTCGAGGGCGTCGCTCCGCGACAACTTTTTAAACATTGCACCGCGTGTTCACGCGATCGTGACGGCAAAAAAAAAAAGATGTCGCACGTGTTCACCGCCCGGTCGCATCTGCATCTGGTTTTTGTGGGCGAGGTGCCTTGACAGCCCTCGCTGCTTTGTATTTTCCTCCTTTGCCCCACCCCGTTCTACTGACGTCCATTGACGACTGCATCGTGTGTTGATGACGAACTGGCCATCACCGACTCCCATTGGTCACTTTCTTATGATGCACCTGTTTTCTACGATCGGTATCAGTGATTCTCAATTCTCGAAGCAGAATCTTCTTCCTTTAACTGGCCATCGTTATCCCCAACCTTGAGAATTCTTCAAAATTGTGGAAAGAATCATTAGCGTTATATATATTTGAACGTAAGAAATATTTTGGATTTCCTAGATAAATATGTATTTCCATTATTGGTCAAACCAGGCTGTCACTTTGCATGACCAAACAAAAATCAGATTGTTTGTTCAATCAAGCTATATTAGGATTTATAGTTGCTCTGACAGTATATTCTTTGCACAATCTTGTTGCAACTAACATCTTGAAAAGATATATTCATTATGGAATTAATGTTTGAAAAAATAGTTTTAGTGAATCGAATCCTAGTTTTGATCACATGGTTTTGTTTATCTTTTTTGGCTCACCTGATTGGATGAACTATAGAATTCATGAATCTATCGTTTCTATTCTTAATAATATAGTTTTCCGGTTGAGAACCATTAGTTTTAAGCGAAGTTCATAGTGTAAAATAAGTTTTACACCATTTTCATTTAAATTAAATCTTAAATTGAATTTGTTCTAAACTTTTCAAATGCAATGTAATTCTTTATTGAAATAAACATTCAACAAAGATTAACATACGTAATTTTCTAAACGAATCTGTAATTCTGTTATCTAATTGTAAGTTAAATGAGATAAAATTTATTTTTATCTTCGTTTCATCGCCAAATAACAGCGAAAGAAATAACGATTAAATTATTGAAACAATTTAATAAAATGTATAAATAAATATTAGAAAAAAAACTATTCTACTGTAGCATGTAGCTGATTGGCGGACTTCTGCGCAAGAGCAGTAATTGAGCATTTGTGTGATATAAAATCTCCATGAGAGTGGTGTTAAAAGTCGCGTAGACGTGACGTTTAACTATATTTGTAAAATAGTTCTTATTAACATTATCGCGTGTTTATCAAATAAAAAAAAAAAAGTGACAGAATGTCTGTCACTAATCTTGACTCTCAACAAGAATACGACAGTTATGTTAAGTAAGTAACTCTGAATATAAGCGATTCTAAAACTAATATAACCTAGTTGAATTTTTATTGCTCGAGATATATTACAATATTCGATTTCTATTTCGAAATAACATTTAAAATAGCGAGAAAAAAGTATTTTCTATCTTATGATGCAACAAATTAAATACTATCAAGTAATAAAAGAGAAGTATTTTATAATGTTTTCGTTCGATGTGAGAGATCAGAAGTCACGAGTTTTTATCGATATAGTTTCGTGATAAAATAGGAAAATTGCTGCTATTGTCGTATGGAAATTCGTGGTATTCAAGATCGCTTGTTTGTCATGTCAGGTCACAAGATCTTTCCGTTGTTCACTTCTACACACCTTGGGCCGATCAGTGTTCGCAGATAAACGACGTGATAGAGGAAATGAGCAAACTAGCCGAGTACACGGGAGTTAAATTCGCCAAGATTGAAGCTGAAAAGATACCTGACGTGTCGTTAAAGGTTGGCATCAGTGCAGTACCGACGGTTATTCTCATAAGAAATGATACTATACTCGATAGAATCAATGGAGCTGACCCATCTGCGATAGCGCAAAAGATCAAGCGTCATTTGAGCAACAATGATATTTCAATCGACGCGTGTAAACCGAAAGAGAAACTTGAAGAAAGACTAAAGAAATTAATAAATCAAGCATCTTGTATGTTGTTCATGAAAGGATCTCCCACAAATCCACGTTGTGGATTTTCTAGAATAATAGTCTCTATCTTAGATTCCTATAAGGCAGATTATCAGACGTTTGATATTTTGCAAGATAATGATGTTAGAGAAGGACTTAAGAAGTTTAGCGATTGGCCAACGTATCCTCAGTTGTACATTAATGGGAAACTCATTGGAGGATTAGATATTGTAAAAGAATTGGTTGATTCTGGAGAGCTGGAGAACATGTTACCTAAAAAGAGTTAATACAAAGAAAATGTGAGTTTCTCTATTCACATATAGACATTTAAACACTTTTAGGATAACAAAAGTGCTTAATTTTAGGCACTTGATAAGAATTATATAATTGTTCTCTTTCAGAAGGGAGACCGGTCATTATTTTAATACAATTATCCTTAAGTTATTTTGTATCAGTTGTAAGAATTTCAATATTTGCTCTATTGAAGTACATAATAAATTAAATCATCTACGTAAAAAGAATTCTTTATAAACCCCAGTAGATTGCACGATTTAGATCATTAGTTCGATAGAAACCTGCTCGCTTTGTAATGAAGTCATTTCATTTTCAAAAACATTTCAGTTATAAGTCAATATTAATATATTACATCTACAATGAATAACTGAAAATAAAAAATATAATTTCATTTATACATCAAATTTTGTATATCTTTATCAATTTTTAATAAAAAAGATTAATTATAATTCTTGTGACTCACATAACATGATTTCGCAATATTTTACATTATACTATTTTAATTCTTCCTTTTCTTTATTCCGATCTTCGCACCTTTTTTCGCTCCTTTGATAATGTTGTGAAATTTACTCGCATTCTTTTTGTTTTTCCTAAAGTCAAAACTAAATCAGTCCAATACATATCTTTAATTTAAATTCATATCATTATTTACCTTCTATTTAATGCTGCTCTTGTTAAAGGTACATATGCATACGGATCGGGCTTTCCTTTCTTTTTAACGTCACCTCCAGCCTTTAATGCTTTATACTCTGCTCCTGGTATGCGTTCTATTTTTGCTTTTTTCAATGATCGATGTATTCCAGATCCTCCCGCTAAATTGTATTTATTAAAAAATAGATGAAACTACACTCTAAATTATGCATTTATATTATAAGATTCCATACCTTCATATTTCGTTGTAGATGCACTTTTCACACTAAGGTTATCATAATTATCACTATGTTTACGTTTCCTACCCATTTCTTGTGATTTTACTGACTGAATATCATCATCTTCTGTAAATGTAACATAGATTTATTGGGTTCATTTACTTATTTCTATATACACATTCTCCCACAATTATGTAGTCTTACCATAATCGTCTTCTGAATCACTGTGCAACAAAATTGTAGACTTTTTCTTCCTCTTAGGTTTTGGTTCATCAGCTTTTTCATTATCCAATGTAATAATAAGACGGCCATCTGGAGCAGTCTTGAATTCACGATCTTTCCGTTTTGCAGCTGTCGTTTTGGAATTTATAACTCCAGGTTGAGTCGCTAAAAATTTATTTTATAGATTTAACTCAAATGTTGAGTAACTTGAATTTAAAAAAAAATATCTAAACCTACTTGATATATTTCGAGCTGCCGCGGGATCGATAAGATCAATGATTTCTTCATTCTCTTGTATCCAGGCTTCCTTTCGCGATGTTCTTTTCTTTTTCGTCGGTTTTTCATTCTCCAGATTTTCTTCAAATTCGTTATCACTATCCGCTAATATTTCTTCTAAACTAAATTTTCATAATGAGTATATAGCGATGTTCTTTTTTTTTCGTCGATTTTTTTTAAATTAAAACTTAAAGTTTAAAACTAAATTACCTCTTAGGTTTTCTCTTTGCATCAAACTCAATATCATCTTTATTTTCTTCTTCTTGCAGTTTCTTCAATTCTCTCTTCTTCTTCTTCTTCATTTCTACTTTATTCATATTTTTCAATCTTTTATGCAATATCACATTAGAAGCTGGAATCATACTAGAAATTGTTTCCATTCCATACTTTCTTATCAACTTCACAAGAATATCTCGTATTTTCTGTCTAAAATGCCTCTGACAATCATTACTCATTCCACATAAAGCGTCTATCTGCAAATTAATCGATTCGTTTTATTCAGTTATTTAGAGTTTTAGATTATCAAATATCTTTTTTACTAACCAACATTTTTAAATTCGGAGCAACAATATGATACGGCATCGCAGTAATGTAAACTTTAATGTATGCTAATGCAGCTTCTGTGATCTCCCTTGTTGGACTTGTAACAAAAACACACGCGTGTTCTAAGATTTCTTTAATAGTGTCCATATCTAGAGATCCTGTCACAATATTTATAATATTATTTATTTTTATATAAAATATTTATTTCAATTTTAATTTGAAATAAACTATACCGTTGTAGTAATAAGTAATAGAAGAAAGTGCCAGTAAAGATGCAATACAGTATTTCTGTATATTTTGTTCTCCACCACTCAAACCAATCATCAACATATTGACATAATCTTTAAGATGTGTAGGATGTCCCAAAAATTTCTCAGCAATAGTGTTTAACAATTTATATGCGGAATTTCGACAATGTGCATTTAAATCTTTCAAATAAATTACTGCTTCAGGAACAACGGCTTCTAAGAATTTAGTTTTCTCAAGTTGTGGATGAATTTTGACTAGATGAATTAAACACCTTAATCGTGACTAATTAAAAGAAAAAAAGGATTTATTTGTTAAAAATCCAAGAAGAAATTAATATCATAAAATAGAATTTGTAAGTTTTATTTACCCCTCTGCTTGGTTTTGCGACTTCAGTAGCCGAAGATATTAATAGTTTTTGGATTTCGCGTCTATATTGAGCTACAAATGCTTTACACGTTTCTTTTTCACTACCACATATTTCCTCCAAAAATCTAAGAATGTATAACAGTAATAATTTTCTTTTCATAAAAAGAAAGAGATAAAATTAATTTCAAATGTTACCTGTATACTTTTTTCTGTTCCCTGAGTTTAGAATTTTCTTTAAGACACGATACAGATATATCATAAAATGCTTTTATTTTATCGATGTCAGTATGTTCAATAAGTAATCTTATTATATCGTGAATACTTTCTTTCAAAAAATCATCGACATGAGGTTCTTTTAACTTAGACAATACACGATCGAATAATTCATTTACTAATTCTTTATTTGTAATTGTAAGATATATCTGTAATTGTACAAAATATTAGTTTCTTTAAATAACATTATATTCTCGATTCACAACTTACCTTTATTGTATTGTATGTAGAAGAACGTTGTCCTTCTTCATCAGTTCCGTTTGGCTTAGTAGTATATAAACTTAAGAACAATGGTAGATAATTCTTTGCAAATCTAGCTAATTCACATATGTCTTCTTCTTTATTATTTTCAACTGCTCTTGTTATTAATCTTCGTAAAGAATGAAGTATCGACATTCTCAAATTTTTGTTACTGAAATTTGTTCCCAATAATTTAGCTATATTCTAAAAAAAATAAGATATTTCATTATATTTTGCTATATTTTTTGTATATATTCATGATGCACACCTTAAAATTATCTTTTACATCAGTAGCATCGTTGCATATACTTGGTAATATAGCCCAGATTTGGCAACCGAGAAATTCGTAAGTTTTTCCTCCTATGGATTCAAATGATTTTTTTCTAGAATGAAATATAATTATCAATATAATTATTGATATAAAATACTTATAATAAAAATACTTACTCGCACAATGTTGCGATAGGTAATAATGTTTGCATGAAAAAAGTAAGTGATCCACCTAATAAACAGTTCTTCAATAATGGTAGTAACCAACTCCTTTTTAAATTAATAATATTTTTTGATGGCTGTAAGATATAAGTGTAAATTAATGTAGTTATAAAACAACAATTTTATCATGCTGTGTATTATACAGAATTACTTACTTTTAATGGAATAAGATTTAGTACCGTCTCTGGTCCAAGAAACTTTATCGCAGCTCCGATAGCGTATTCAGCGTCATTTTTCAATGTAAAATTATAACAATCACGTAAAACAGCCAGATTTTTTAATATTTCTATTAATTGCGGACTTTTCGCTTTACCAGTTATCTGTAATAAAAGACGTATAATAGAAAGATATCGAACATTGATAGAAAGATAAAGGAGAGAAAATAAATATTACCTCAAAAAGTAGAGCTATTAAATGAAAAATATAATACCAAGCTTCCAAATATCGATAATGTAAGGCTTCACGCATTATTAGAGTTATCTGATCAATAGCGTCTTTATATCTACAAGTGTGAAATAATATAAAATATAAAATATAAAATATAAAATATAAATTATAGATGTAAAGAATAACATTTAAATATTATAACTTACGTTTTTATTGTTTCTTCAGTTTCACAAAATTTACCGACACAATCTTGTAATAAAATTTTTAACGTGTGCGAAGTGCCAGATATAATTTCCGATTTATCCGAAAGCCAGTATTTTATACATGTCTCAAACATTCTTGGTAAAAGAGCCGCACATAAATTTAATGAATTACTAGAAATCAAAAATATATTTAATAATTACTAACTTTTCAATGAAATGAAGAATAAAAAATTTAGATATAAAAGTATATTTACTGAGCTACAGTCAAATGTGCTTCTTGCATGACAGTTAACCATGCTAAAGTTGGTTGAATATCAGTTGCTGGAGGTTGGTAAACATAAAGAGCACTAATGATTTGTCCATTTCTTTGCACTGGTAGAATAAGTTCCGGTGGTCGAGAAACGAACAAAACATGAAATGCTTGTAGACAGCATGAAGTTATTAATACATTTTTCATAGTCATCAGTTTCAACAAAGACTCACTGATAATCTAGAAAACAAAAGTGTTTAATTTTTAATTACAAATGCAAATATTTTCTAAATAAGTACCTTCACGTAAGTTTTTGGTATATGATGGAAAATATCTTTCAATAATGTAAGAACATGAAGAATATTTGTAATTCCATTGGATTCGGAATCAGGTTCCAGTAAATCAATACAGAATATTGCAATATATGGTGCAGCCGGGTGATACGGTGGTGGATCCTCACTTTTCATGATATCACTTCCTGTAATTATTAATATAATAATAGTCAAGTTTATTAAAGATTTTCCAATTTATTTGAACAATTTATCTACTCAAATTTATCCTACCATTTAATATGGCAATAATTCCATGTTGTGCTGATTTTCTCAATTTTGGTTTATAATGTATAGTAAATGACAAAATAACATCCAACACTTGCATTGTAGACGAATTAGACCATGTTGCTGCTTCTTGCGCACGAAGTAACAAGGACAAACAATGAATACACTGTAAAAAATTAAAAATGTCAATAACACATCTCGTTATAATGTTTAAAATTAAATAAAGAAATTAATAAAAAAGCAATTTACATGTCGAAGTATTAGATATTCTTCCGATGATGTATATTTGACAAGGATATCTAGGAAAATTTTACTTGCAGCTCCAAATTGAACATTTAAAACATTCTTTGGTACAGTTTTCAAACCCATGCCCAATAATGATAGCGTAGCTGCAATGGACATGTTTGATTCAATTGCTTCCAAAGTGCTCATCTAAAATATTAAAATTTATGATTATTAATTGTACTTGTTTCAAGAACATAATGTTTTATAATAGATACCATTGCAGCAAAATATTCTGTACTAGTTTCATTACCACCATTTTGTTTTATAATTTCTGTTACGGCAGACAATACAGCTAACATTTCCTTATGTAACAATGAATTTGATTGAAAATTATTTAAAAACCTACAACATTCAATTGATAGTTCAAGATTTAATATTTAATAACATCTTCAAATATTATTATTTAAAATTAGATTTGCTTTAAATACAATTATGTATATACTTACCTACTAAATGATACATTTGAACAATTACTGTAATTAGTAGCAAATGTATTAGAAGTATATTCTGTACAACTTTCCCAAGAATTATTATCGTTTTCAGATGTTTCTGCCGGTGATTTAACTCCTTGACAAGCATCGTGTTTTTCTAAATCTTCTTTTGTTATACCAGGCTTTTCCGTGGCTGAGACAATTAAAAATTTTTTTATAGTATCAAACGCGAAAAAGAATTATAGAAAACATTGGAATCTTTGATATTTGTAAATTGATACCAATGGGGTCTTTAAAAAACATCCAAGATGCCTGTTCCCGATGTGTTACAGTTTGCGGGTTGGAACTCGAGCTTTGGCCCTTTGGCCATCGTTTTGCGTTCTTCCGGCTATTTAAGCGGACTCCCAACTTTCCCATTTTTTCCGTATCTTTTCACGTTTCTCAGTAATATATAAAAGAATTTCAAATATATCGAAGGATATTTCTTTCTTTTTTTTTATCTACAATGATTGCACAGGGTTAAATGCATACTGCACGTGTCTAAAGTCATAGACTATAGTCACAGACTACAGACATATGGAACAGTCATAGACAAAATATTTATACGTGTGATGTCAATTTTATTCTAATTATCTTTAGTTCGCAATTTTTATGACAAAATAATCTCTAGTTTGGTTTTCTATAAGAATCAATTAAAATACTTTTAAAATTACCTGAACTGACAATTACAAAATGAAACCTATTAGAATAGGTTAACATTTCATCGACAGGCTATAATATGTAAAAATATAATGAAAATCTTTTCAGATTTTCAAACATAATATAATTTGCAAGAACTAAATACTATTTGAACAAGTGTCCCGATCTATTCAATAGAATTTGTAAATCCTTATCCGTATATTTTCTACTAAGTATGGAAAGGGTTTAATGTAAAGTTTCTAATCGTAAAAGTTCATAAATTAATTCTCTTAGTTTTTTTTTCTTTTACAAATGAAGATTTGATCGACTTGTGGACATTTAAATTCAGCGCCGAATCATTATTACTGTCCTCGTCGCATCAATGCTTTGTCGCTGTCTGTTTTCAGATGATGCTGCCATCTGAACATTTCCTAACTCTCACTAAAACTAAAAAGGTAAAAATGAATCCTCTAATAGATGGCACAACTTGTACTAAAATTGTAGGTACGATGATCGATAATTTATAAATTCACCGTACTACAAATAACTATACACTTTGTTAATATTAATATTTTTAATAACTATTCTTTAACAATATTTAATTGAACAATAAAATTAATTAATTAATTATTTATACACTTTTAATTAATAATAACTTTAGACTTTAGACTTTAGAATGTATGATGTACAATATTCAATGTTCAATATTCAACTTTTATTATACCTTCTCTTATTTATACCTTATTTATGCCTTCATTAATTTGACAATTATTTACAAACGTCTCCATAGTAATATTAATTTTTACATAGTTTT